GTAGGAGACGCCTTTGTTGAAGAAAGTGTGTAGTGAGTGGTTTTTTCTGATTACCAGGTGGGCAAGATGCTGCCGAGGCATTGTTGTTGAACCGAGTTAACAGCTGTGGGACAGGGGGGGAAGGGGAGTGAAGTGTTGGAACTGGTTCAAGCCAGACCTTCAGCTATAAATACTACATAGTTAGCGTGAAGATTAGTCACTTCTGAGTTGGACGTGTGTGTGGTTTGTTGTGCAATCTAGGACTTTCAGTTTGGAGGGTCGACACTTTCTACTGATAGGTGGTTCACGTTGTATGGGTAAGTAAATTTTCTTATTCCAGGCTTCTCACTAGCATTTCATGTCGCGTAGGCCACACGCAACAGACGTGCATGTTTATTGCTCGGCCATATTCTCATACTCCAGGAGTGTGCATTCCATATTGCGCAGTTCCAGACTGCGACCATATATTGCAAGAGGCTTCGCTCTTAGTTTACAGTTACAAGCTCAATTGCTGCTCCGTTTGTGTTTCTAATTTATATTTCAACTTGTCTCTATCTGATACGAGACATGGTAAGAAACGAACTATCGAGTCACATTACACATACCATCAGAACACACATTTAAACAGAACCGAAAAGCGCTAATTTTGAAAAGTTGGTTTCACATTATAATGAAACCTTCGTCTGAAGTAGTAACAAATGTATTTAATTTATTTGAGCTTTAACGACGCCATTCCGATTATATAGCGTCGAATGATAGGATTGTTAATAAATTATCCATTGGAAAGGATATGCAAGTGGAATAATATTTGGGATTATCCCAACATTTGCCTGAAATGACTGAAGAAACCATGAAGAACAGGCGTTATGATGGGCTAAGATCTAAACCCAAGATATCCTGAATACAAAGTAATGAGCTGTCACATTTGGTAGTAGCAAATGCATCCTGTGATGTCTGTGCTATTTATACTAAAGTGGGTTACATATAAACATCAGTAGTGATTTATAAATTGCATTAATATGTTAACGTGTCTGTCAACTGTTTGGTCTGAAATTTCTGGAGAAAACTGCAATGTGAGTAATGTTTTCAAAATCTGTCTCTCTATGAGAAACTCCAGCAAGGTGTAAGAACATCGTGAACATCCTTTACTCAGTGCCAGTACAAAAATCTCCCAGAAATAAAGAGAAGAGAGCATTAGTTTCAATGCTGCACCAGTAATGTGTGTTGGCTTTAATTGTTAACATGCACCTTTTTATCTGTTTTTGTATTCCATTCAGTAACTTTGACTTCATTCATAAGAATCGAAGTAAGGACGCAATGAAGCAGTTGCTGCTGTGATTAAATAACTATTAATGAAAAGGACTAATTCCTAAAGGTCATATGGAAATGGTCTATCATTTCTTGAGATTAGCATTTTATTTATTTGACTTGTCCTAACTGCTGTCTTTATTCCAGAGCGTGAGAAGAGTCTTTTATTAACGGATCCCCCTGTAGAGCCCATAAGCAGCTGCAGGGATGAGTCTGGGTATGTGCCAACGGTTGGCCGCTGGGGAAATGAGTGGCCGAGTTGACTCGAGACTGAAAATTGGGAACAGCTAACGGGGAGTAGTGAGTGGCCTAAGGGCCACCCATTGCCTCTTCCCTCATGGGGTAGCCCAAAGCTGGCACTCAGTGTGCCAAGCGTGGAACAATATGAGGACCTTGCCTCAAATGTGGAGTTGACCGTGCAGCAGCTTCTGCAGGCACACAACTACAACAGTGTTGGCAACCTGCTCAGGTGAGTGTCCGATTCTTATTGTAGTTCAAGTAACAACTGTTGAAAGTGCACAATAATAGTATGCAGAGAAGACATTCTAATTATCTGCAATTGAATGAACATGCATTATGCTAGACCTGTCTTAATCTGGCATGGTAAAATCTTCAGGGCAATTTCCTATTGCTTTTAATTCATATCTCTATATTAGACAATGTTGGTTGGTGATCATTTTTTGAAACCACTATTAGACTGCAGGTAATGTAAAAACACAAGTGTATCTTCACCATGATAGATATTCATTGTAGTGTGCTATTCATGGAAATGTGACCATCCACTGATGTGGGTGTGGTCATGACACAACCCGAGTCCAATTAATTTTGTTCATCTTGCATGCATATGGTCTGAAAATGGATGCAACTTTTATCTCTAACACTGCTGTCACATACTTTTTATTTCTTGAAATATGTCTAAAAATACAGACTTTTTTATAAAGTTTGATAATTGTTGTCTAATTTGGGCCAGAACATAGCTTCTTTTACTAATTTTTGTAATAACTCGTGAGTACATCAGCCCTGGAGTTGATGATTTCATCACAAGTATCTTAAAATAAATTGTAGTTTTCATATACGACACAAACACAGCTGGTAATAGTCGAGCACTTTTGTATTTTGTGCCTAAGCATTTATTGAATGTCCCCACGCAAGCATATCCGCTGCCTGGGTGCAAGCACAATCTGTTGCCCCTGTGTATAAGTACTTAATTTTTCTATTTTTAGATTACCAAAATTAATTTTGTATGGATTTCAGTTCTTTGTAGCTACCCTTCAACCATGGCTCTTGTAAGCAATTGCATACTTTGCTACCCTTTGGTGCCGCCCCTGATTTTCAGCACTCTGATGCAATGCTTAAAAATTCTGTAGCCCCATAGCAAGTTGCTGCCACTCTAATATTGCCACCCCTCACTTGGTGGTGCTTGGGTATAATGCATCCTTTGCAGTCCAGACCAGACATTTGTAAGAGGTTCAAATTTTTGTGGTCTCTATGAAAATCTATGGATGTAGATTTCAGCATGATAACTAAAATTTTTATTATTTCAACTTCAAAAATAAAACTGGTGACTTGAAGATTTAGAAACTGTTACATAAGTTATCTTCTTCATGTTTCATTGGTATTTTTTAAATTAGTTCAGTAATAATTTAAAATGCGGTTTATTGTGAAAGTGATGATTATTATTTCTTGTGTATTTTTCGTAGGTTCTTTGAAGGGTTCCGTGCAAGTGGGGATTCCAATTTGGGTCATTTCTACCGCAGTTATTTGCCGCCAATCACACCCGAACATTACACCTGCGTTGGACTGGCACTTGAATTACTACGACGATTATCCACCCTTGAAACCAAGTTCCCTGGGCTTACCAGTCGACTGTATTTGGCCTCTTGTGAAGAAGTATGTGTCTATAATTATTCTTTAAAGCACATTCAAATTTTCATATTTACAATAATCTTTCATTATTAGGTATTATGGATAATTCTTTTGTTTCAGAGTTTAATGGTCCCTTGTGCCTTTACCTCGTATTACGTATAATTCAGTTATTTACTTTTAATGGTGACAGATCAATCATGGAATTTTTTTTATTTTGGTGTAAAGTAAATATAAACCCAAAATTTGGTGTTTATAAGGGAAACTCTAATAGGGTATTGATATTTTTAGGGTTTTTATGCCGTAGTATTGTGATTGGACACAGTCAGACGTGCATGGAAGATTCAATTTAACTTTAGCATCCCTGACTTGGCATCTATGATGAAAATATTTGTGTGTATTTGGTGGTACTGGTTAGAAATGTCGTCAAAACATATTATTTTCCCATCCTGTTTCTTCACGAATGTGTAAAGGATAGTTTAATAAGCATAGAAATGTTAATGAAGAAAAGTCGTCCAAAATAAAACTTTTCAGAGGATTATGTATTAGACTTGGATCAGTGCAGAGTGTGGGCAGTTCCCCCATTCATGATAAAGGAATGTTTACTGTAGTAAGTCCTGAGAGCTATTTTTACAAAAAGAAGAGCTTATATGTTCTTTGTATCTAAGCTATAAAGTATATAGAAATCCAACTCCATATTTATTAGTGCTCTTTTTGCAGTCAATAGAAGATGTTGACAGTTATGTGAGAGAAGAACCTTGCAAGACATCGGTAGAAAAGGAGCATGTGTTGGTAGCATTGCGTGTGGAGGTGGCAGGAAGGCCTGGAATGTTACTGCTAGATCCTGGTTATCATATAGCAAGAGTTATAACTGTTATGGCTGACAACCTTTACCCTCATACTGGTGAGCTGAATCTGCTGTTTCAAATTGATTGAAATTCAGATTTGGAAATGTTAATTTTACATAAACCAGAAGTGTTTATGAATAAGAGCAAAGGAAATGCATAATATAAATAATAATTTTGATATAAGGTGATCAATATTATTAAATTCTGATCTGTCAAGTGATCATGAAGTAAAAAAGAAGTTCTGATCCTCATAAATTAGCCTTCTAACCTTCCATAATTTAATCACTAGTCATCAACGCTTCAGTTAAAGCTATCCATTATATCCAAATTGTGTAAATCCAGAAATGTTTTTGCTATGCATGATTATATGGTGGATTGTCAGTAATTTTGTATTTGAAAGTTTTTAACATTATATATTCATTTGGTTTTAGGTTGGTTTACACAGTCAGATGAACCGCATTGTCGCAAAGAATACCAATATACTCTGGCCACAGGTGGTAAATACATCGTATGGCGAGATCGTGAAACTCGCAATGGACTAGAATCCATTTCCACGGCAGTTATATACGCGAGTCGTCCCTTTCTGTGTCCAGTAACCGTTACTGAACGTCGAAACCTTGTATACAACTTCCGAAGTTTGCTATCAAGGGACACCAAAGGACATCTGATTGCAGGAATCTATTTTAAGATAACTGACAATGCTAGAAAGGCAGTGGATAATGGTTCATTTAGTTTCACAGCTTTCCATCAAGTAAATGGCAATACAATGCGCATGAAAGTTGACTTCAACAAGTACCTTGATATACAGCAGAAGTCTTCCAATGACGCAAGGACTGATGCTGCCATTGCCCTCTGCGGCCAACAGCTAGGATTACCAGCAGGACGATTAGAAGCAATACTGACTGATTTGGCCACACTCGTTGCAGATGACAGTTTCCGAGTGCAGCTGCTGGGGATAAACCAGGACATTAATGATGTTGCATGTGATAACTAGGTGGAGCTGCACCGGTGCCAAGCCGCGGTACCGGTGCCATGTCACCAGGGAAACACGACCTTATGGGAATATATTATTTTGTGTTGGGTCTTTGCTGCTTTTGTGTTTGGTATATTATGTTCCATACTTTTATAATTATTGCCACACTACATATAAGTTTTGTGTGAATGTGCTGTATTATTTCTGGCTTTTTTTTTTTTTTTTAAAAAATACTGACTTCGGTTTATTTTCCTGAAACAGTCTTTGAGAATTGTTGCCATCAATGTAGACTTAAGTCGTACTTATTGTATAAACTGAGATGGATGTAAACTTTTGGAAAGGCACGATGATTTAAACATTGGCTTTGTCAAGTTCAGATTCTGCTAAGAAAATGAAGACTCTCTGCTGTGAAAGCATCAAATCCTGCTCTTGAATTCTCCATTTAACCTGGCAACAAAGTATATCCTACTAGCTAAAGGATTTGATAAAAATGTGTTACACGCATAGATTGAATGGGAAACTATTTCTGGTTGCAGTCTTGTGCTGGTGTGTTTATGACAGATTCATTTTGTGCTTTTTTAAAGTTGTCAGAAATAAAAAAAAATTTACTTAGTTTCAATACTTATTTACTTTGTTGAGATCTGTATACAGAAGCTGTATCTGCTTAACACTGAGACCAACTTCATGAACTGAGATTTGTGTATTACTTCCTTTTATTGTACTGTTTTTGTTAGTGTATAAGTGTCGTATTGTTTATCATATATATACAAATTTACAAAATAGTGTCCATTAATTTAAACATTCAGTACATTTTATTGAAGTTAGCTTTAATAATATGACGTCTCTGCAGATTTGGCTGTGGATTAATCATTAATATCCAATGTTATGGGGTTGCAACTTATATCTTTCAAAGGCTGTTTAAAGATGCATCAAAGATGCTATTTTATATTCACTGTTACTGTATGTATGAGAATTATAATAGGCTCTGTAAACATTAGTTTGTAATTTATAATAATTTAGACAAATACTTAATGCAGATCATTTTTTATATAACTGGAAGGATGTGTTTCCCTGGAGATAAGAGGTTTATTGGAGGCAAATGATATAATGCTGAAGAATTTTTTGATATGAAGGAGCTTAACTCTGGGTGACTGGGAAAATGTAAACCAACACAGGTTGCTTGCTCACACATTAATGCACACTGACACTTTAACTGCTTCTTATATAATCTCTTATCATTAATTTTAATTTATGTCACTTCAGTTTTATTTACTTTAGCTAATCAGATCAAGGGCATATTATTGAAATTCTGAAAATATTTTTATTCTGAGTTATATAGAGTTAAATCATGTTTGAGTTCCTCTAATATTGCAGCAGAATCTGAAATGTTATTACTTAAATTCCTCAGTTTTGCTTTTATTATGTCACTTCTGCAGTATGTAATAAACTGTTCATTAAAATAAAATGAGCCAGCAGTTCTTATTTTACTGTTAACTTTGATCTTTGGAGCTTATGAACCCTATACCTTATGTTTTTTCTTGGGCTAATGCTAAGCAAGTATAAGATTTCACATAACTCTTTTCCCTCCAGTTTAAAGCATTGGTTACATATATATGCAATTATTAAAAATAGTAAAGGAATAAGGTTACCTAATAACATCTTTACATGACTGCAAAATTACATTACTTCAGTTCATGCAGGAAAGCTTCAAAGTAGCTGCAGTATGAAGGGCTGCTCTTACAAAATACAAATTTCTTACATACACAGAATACAACCAAAATAATACACCACCACCACTAATAAATGCCACCCATTTTTCACAGTTTATATACCAACATACAAGTACCGAAGATGGCCTGCAGCAGCAGCACTTGCAAAATAGATCATTATGCTACCTAGTGTCAGTACTGAGAGTTATCAGTAAATTACAAAGAAATTGGGACCTATTAACCTACATTTTTGACTGCACATATGCAACGTTCAAAATGGCATATCAAGTTATGCACAGTCCAGTGCAGCAGTAACTTTAAAAAGCTGCCTATTACGAGGTGCGATCGGAAAGTTTCAACACTGCGCGTATAAAAACCCGTACACTTATCTCAGGTATTAAATTCATCCATCACCCTCGAAGTAGTTCCCCTGGGAGTGAACACAACGATCCCAGCGCCGCTGCCAAGCCTAGAAGCATCCCTGGAAATCTTTCTTTGTCAGCCTGTCAAGCACCATCTGCGATTCTGCCTGAATCTCTTCTATCGTCTCAAATCTCCTTCCCTTTAGCTGAATTTTCATCTTTGGGAAGA